CTACACACTACCCCTCCATTCCCACGGAGGGTCCGCCACATTAAGTGCTGTTCCAAACCCACGAGTGTGAAGGGGGAGTGGGTTATCAAGCCCTCAAACAGAGAGTCTGCATCACCTGACTTCACCTGCTGCTCTACCTGACCGACTCAACGCTGTGTGTGTCCATCATGAAACACGCTGTTTACTAATAGTTCTGTGCAAAAACATTTACTGATAAACTAGAGAGAAATTAGACCCCGTTGAGCGGAGGTAAATGACAGCTGTCAGGAGGGGAGAGAGCAGATTTAAAGATGTGGCGATGCGCTCTGATTGGCTTGTGGAAATAGAGACAAAGGTGATAATAATGGCTGATGGGAGAGGGGAGATAGAAATATGTGAATGACGAGATATAGAGACAGTCTTCCTGATTTAACTTAGGCTAAGCTTCATATGTTATCAGTAGTTAGCTTTTTGTCAGGGGACAGATCATCAATAAGGATTACCCTCAGGTCCTGAAAATATATTAAAATGACCGTTAATATATGATATTTATCCAGCAAGCACTTATACAAACACAGCGTGAGCCTGTTAAGCAAATCATCTCCTTCTGCTTTCTGATGATCGGTTTCAAACGTTTTATTTGTCATATGCACAATAGCTACAGCAGAGTTTTGGCATTGAATCTGAAGTCTCAGGCACCTCCAAAAAGAAAATATACAATATACCTAAGACATAAAAGAGAAAATACCATTAATGAAATGCTGGAAAAGACAAGATGTTGCAGGAATATGGAGAATATAGAGATATAAGATCAGATAAAACAATCTAATATGAAATGAAATGTCTTGTCTCACTGTCAGGTGGAAGACCTCTCAGAGTGACGGACAGAGAGCAGAGACGTCGTACTGCAGGAAACACTTCCTCAACAGAACTGCTCTCATCACCATAGAGGTAACACACACACACATACACACACACACACACACACACACACACACACACACACACACACACACACACACACACACACACACACACACACACACACACACCTCGCTTTATACTCTTACATTAGACTCAAAACAAACCCACAGAAGAACAGAAGCTCAATGTTCCCTGTGTGACTTTAAGGTTTCCAACGTGACACAGGAGTTCCTTCCTGTTCCGGTCGGACCGGTCTGACATCAAACTGCTGCTGCTGGAGAAACGGCTCACCAGCCTCAGGCTCCATTATTGATCTTAGCAAGAGATGCCTTTTTCAGATTGTACAAGTTCACCTTTTTCAGCTCTGGTTTCATCTGATTTTTCTTAATCCTACAAATAAATAAAATATCTATAAAAACATGAAAATATCTTGTTTCAGAAAAATAATTTATATATTTATAATTAAAAAAAAGCAAAAGACAGAGATTTTCACTTTTGTCCTTTTAGTTCTTTTATTAACAAGAAAAACCCCAACATTACAAAATATACAGACATGTGGCACTCGACCTGTTGGCTGTTCTTTATTATGACTTTTCTTTGATTTGTTTTGTTGCATTATTCAAACTTTCATTTATGCATTCAACACATTTAGACTTAGTTACAAATTAAAAACCTTTACAATCAAATATCTCCAATGAAAGAAGCTCTGGTGCTTTCTCTCTAAAGACTCACTTTACAAGAGAAACAACACACAAATACATCAATATCCATATTCAACACATTTTAAATCATGAACACACGTCTCTGTTAAACACATACAAGACTACAAATACAATTGAACAGAGTAAAAGGCAATCAGAGTATAAGACTATATGTTTTAAATGATTATATGATCATTTAACACGACACAGAACAACTCGTGAGAAGATGTTAAAGCACATCCCATAATGTTTGATTGACAGCTGATCTCTGTGCAGTGAAGACATGAGCAATCAGCTCTCAGCAACAATGATGGAGACACGGTGAGTTTAAGAAGTAGAAGAGTTCCTCAAATGACTTCAGGCTATTTCAGTTTACAAAACTCAGCTGTGTCTCCATGATCAATAAGCCAAAGTCCAGCATGTAGCGGCTGAGTGAATGTGGTCTGCACTCTGTGGAGGAGAGTCATGGTTTCAGAGACGATGCTGTAGAAGGACAGAACACCTGCTCTGTGATCCAGGTACACTCCTACTCTGGAGGACAGAGGACCTGAGACGGGAGTTTTGATACTGTTGTAATGAAATGTATAACTGAGTTGGTTACAATCTAAGGACCAAGATTTGTCATTGAATCCAAACCGACATTCATTCCCTGCTCTGATGATATTCTTGTATGCGACTGCTACAAGAACTCCTAACCCTCTCCACTCCACCTCCCAGTAACAACGTCCAGTCAGACTCTCTCTACTCAGGACCTGAGAACATCCAATGAATCTGTCTGGGTGACTGGAATAAGACTGTGGTTGTCCCATGTATGTTGCTTTTCTGCTCCCCTCAGATAATAACAGATGTGTGTATGCTGTGTTTGGATCCAGAGTGACTTCCTGTGAATATTGTAAGAACCCAGCTCTGGTGGTGGGCTCTGCTGCTGACAGTAAAGCATCCACTTCAGTCGATGAGACGTTTGTCCATTCCTCTCTCAGGACGTCCTGTAGTTTGTCTCTGACTGCTGACAGGGCCGCCGTCACGTCCTCAAAGTAGCTCAGAGGACGGATGTTGATGCTGGATGAGTGTGTAGGTTCACTGAGGGCTGACAGTGAGGGGTAGCTGTGCAGAAACTGGTTGTGATCCTCTGTGTGAGACAGCAGCTTCAGCTCAGCGTCTCTCCTCTTCAGCTCAGAGATCTCCTGCTCCAGCTTCTCCTGAAGCTCTTTGACTCGACTCACTTCTCTCTTCTGCTGGGATCTGAGCTGCTGCTTCACATCAGAGCTTCTTTTCTCCATGAGACGGATCAGCTCAGTGAACATCTTCTCACTGTCCTCCACTGCTTTATCAGCAGAGCCATTGACGGCCTCCACCTCCTGCTGAAGCAGCTTCACCTCCTTCTCTCTGTCCTGGATTCTCTGCTGGATGTTTAGTCGACTCCCCTCCAGCTCTCTCTGCCTCTCAGTCCTCTCTGCTGCAGCTGACACTGTGTCGTGGCCTTTGTGTTCGTCCATAGTGCAGATATAACAGATACACTGCTGATCAGTGCGGCAGAACAGCTTCATCACCTCGTCGTGACGAGAGCAGATGTTCTCCTGGAGCTTCTTGGAGGGCTCCACCAGCTTGTGTTTCTTTAATTGAGCTACGTCATAATGAGACTGGAGGTGTTTCTCACAGTAAGATACAAGACACACGAGGCAGGACTTACAGGCTCTCAGTTTCCTCCCAGTGCAGACATCACAGGCCACATCTTCAGCTCCAGCATAGCAGTGATCAGCAGGAGCAGCTTGGAGTCCAGTCTTCTTCAGCTCCTCCACTAAAGCTGCTAACATGGTGTTTTTCAGCAGGACAGGCCTCGGTGTGAAGCTCTGCCTACACTGAGGGCAGCTGTGGATTAACTCTCCATCCCAGTGGTGTTTAATACAGTCCATGCAGTAGCTGTGTCCACAGGGAATAGTCACCGGATCCTTCAGTAGATCCAGACAGATGGAACAAGAGAAGGTTTCCCGGTCCAGCTGAACTCCTTTCTGCGCCATTTCCCCTCTCAGTAGCAGCGAGTGTCTGAGTTTCACTTCCTGAGAGCTGAAACTATGTGAGCTGTGATCTGAACAGCATGTGTGTGTGCAGTGAATGTGGCCTATCAGCTCTTGTGCTTTACCCACATGTTGGTTACACCCATCCTTCTCAGTGTGGATCTGAAGGGGAGGAACCAGGAAGTACAGAGTGCAGCTGGCTGTGTCTGAGAGCAGGAAGGAGAGGGAGGGCTTATCAAACTCTGACTCATTCCAGGAGGAGCAGCAGACACTCTGACCTGTTTCCTCATTAAAAGTACAAAAGCATTGGTACCAACATATACTTAAAGTACCAAAAGTAAAAGTACTCCTTATGCATTATGGCCCTTTTCAGAATCGTATATATATATATATATATATATATATATATATATGTGTGTTTTCCATTCCAAATAAAGTGTAGGGGAAATGAGACAGTAACACACAACAGTCAGGGTGAAAGTGAACAGAAGTTTATTTATTCAAATAAATAATCACAGAAAAATGCCAAAAAAATTCTTTAAGTAAGAAGACAAAGAAGATTGTGCCAAATTAAATACATGAATATAACAAAACTCAAACAAAAAGCCCTCACTATCTGTTATACTAACAAGGAGACAAAACAACTACAGGGTGCAACAATCTACTAACCTAGTGTGTCTACACGGAGACGAAAACGAACCAAGTTCGATATCAAAAAAGTCTTCCGTCCACACGAGACCGCTCGACCCGCTGGAGACGCTGTAGTACATATGCCGGGCCTGTAAGTGGCGCCATACTTCCGCAACAAAATACACCAAAAGCAGCGAATAAGACCCCCCGAGCATGGTTGCCATGGTTGCCTGGTTGCCCTTCTGTTTATTCTCCGTGGTGGATTTAGCAACATGTAGTTCATGTAGTTCTCCATGTCCACTTGTTGCTGATGGTTGTGGTAGAGGAGCTGTAGGTTTTGCACTAACATCTGTAGCATGGTCAGTAGCGTCTGGAGCACGAAAGCAACCCTGTGATCCGCCATTGTTGTTGTTGTTGTTGGTGAAACGCATCAGCAATGACGCGGGTGACGCGGGGGTGAGCAGGAGAGGTGGGGAGAGGCGGGGCTATGGCGTCATCGTTATCAGGAAATGATCGTATAGGGCGTACACACGGAGCCGTTTGGCCCCCCAGAGCGTTTCGTCCACAGATCTACCCACCTTGGGAGCCGTTATCACAGGGCTATCGGATTCG